AAAAAAAAAAAAAAAAAAACTAAGAGAATAGGGACACTGCTTTTATCTTTACAATATTCAGCTCTTAAGTCATGAACCTCAACATATAATTATTTAAACCTCTTAAGGTAGAAAAAACTAGTTAGTAGTAGTGATGAAAAATCTACTAACTACTACTCCGACGTTATAATTTATGTGAACTTTAATCATTTTTCGAGATTCAAACTATGCAAACTTTGACTAATATATACAACATATTGACATAAGAAATATTGCAACTAATTATAGTATTTTTCATATAATTTTCAAATATCTAAATATTAACTTTAAAATATCGCGTTAATCTAATTCAATTTAAATTTATAGATTAAAATCAAATTAACTTTCGAAAAGCGAAAACGCTTGCATAAACTAAAATAGGAGGAGTACATTTATTTTCTTTTTAAGAGACTGACCTTCATTTGAGCTGAAACAACTAGCTTTTCACGGGGCTTTAGATTTAAGCTTTAGGACAGCTAGTCCTTGACCTAAGAAGAAGAAAGAAGACTATCCTTGACCTAAGAAGAAGAAAGAAGACTAATTAAAAGAAGGCAGAGCGGAGAGCATTTTCTGTGTGTAAATTAAAGATTTGCGTACCTGAGAAATTATATTGCATAGGTTAATGCTATGCTCAAAAAGAGAAGATCAACCACACAAATAAAAGAAATAAAATAATTAAAGAATGACATATTAGCTAATTAGCTAAAATTAAAGTTAAAGCTATTTCCACTAGGAGTTATAGCTGTACCATTAATTATTAGATAAATATTAGTATTCCCCCTAGGACTTAGCTAGGTTTATAGCTATACCATTAATTAATTAGATAAAATAAATGCTCTTGTTTTCGTGTTTGTTGACTGTATGAGTGTATACAACAACCACAATAATATAGTACTCCTCCCGTGCACAATAAGTAACACATTTATTTTTAGCACGCCCATTAGGAAAATATTAAATTTTATACAAAAATACCTATTATGACTAAACTATCACTAATTAAACATTTAATGTGAGGAGTAAGAAATGTTTTTAGGGATATGTACATAAGGGTTATTTTGTAAAAACAAATTGAATTCTTTCTTGATTATATAACTGGACACTTATTTTGAGCCAAAACGAAAAAGTAAATTGGTCACTTATTATGAACCAGATCGAGTACTATATTAATACATTCATTTACCCTTTTGCTGTCTCTTGAAAAATAGATGTAGTAAAACAACAGTCACAGGTTTCACAAAAAAATCTTACTACAGAAATGCTATTTTTTCTCTTCTTATGGAGAAAAATAAATTTATCAATTCGGCCCTTGTGGTCGGATTCTATTATGAATTTCTGACTATATTCTATATAGGACCCTTTTATCTCTTCTTTCTCCGACCTCTGGTTATGGAAGAAAGAATCGAGAAGAAGGTATCAGCAACGACGGATCTTCCCTGCTTAGCTAAAATGGTAATAAAAGAAACTCAACATTTTCTAAGAAAAAGTAAACACTAGAATTTTTGAGCTATAATTCACAAGAATTGCATTTGGAAAACCCAAAAAAATTGCAATTTTGATACTTCAAAATGTGAACTTTTTACCTGAAAGATCTCAAATTGTATCTCATGGAGACATTTTGGTAGAGAATTAAATGCACAACAAGGTGAAGACCAAGAAGAAGTTTAGTACAAAGTTCAAAGAAGGTTACCCGAATTTCCTCTAACTATGCTTTCTTATGACACAACTTTTAACATTATGCCAAGTCCCTTTTTCCCTATCTTTAGTGGAAAATGGAATAATTATTTTTCTTTTTTTCTTTTTTTGATTTTTGAGGAGAAAATTTGGATAATACTTAAAATTAAATAAAAAAAAATGTGTGAAGAGAGAGAGAGAGAGTTGAATAAAAAAAAAAAAAGAGTTGAATCAAAGCCCACCTTCATGAATATACCATGCCTTGGATATTTTTTTTTTCTTTTTTGCTGCCTCTTTTCTATTAGTTCTATACATTACTCCCTGCGTCCTAACTTACAACAGTACCAATAACAACAATTAAGTAGAATTCGCAAGTAGGGTTCGGCGAAGGTAATATGTACGCAAACCTTAATCTTATTCTGGGAAGGTAGAGAGTCTGTTTTCGAAAGATCCTTGGCTCGAGAAGAAGAATAGAAACAAGAAAATGTTAACAACAAGGCCAGGAAAATGATACCAATAATGTATTAACCAGAAAAAATAGATGGAAGAAAGCAATATCAATAGCAACAACCAGTAACAACGATAAGGTACTAAAGAGACCGGAGCAGAAGATAGTACGAAAACAACCCTAATACCTGCATTCTAAGAACAACGACAAGGTGCTAGAAGACGAGCCCTTTTAATAAATTCGGAACAGATTAGAAAAATACACCACAGCCTATTACCCCTCTATCCTAATCCTCGACCTTCATATCCTCCTATCAAGCGCCATATCCTCGGTAAGCTGAAGCCGCGCCATGTACTGCCTGATCACCTCTCCCCAATACTTCTTAGGGCGCCCTCTACCTCTTCTCATAACCGCCAGAGCCAACCATTCACACCTCCTCACTAGGGCATCTAAGCTTCTTCTTCTCACATGCCCGAACCATCTAAGCATAACTGCTCGCATCTTATCCTTCATAGGGGCCACGCTCACCTTCTCCCGAATATCCTCATTTCTAATCTTATCCAACCTAGTATGCCCGTACATCCATCACAACACCCTCATTTCAGCTACGTTCATCTTCTGGATATGCGAGTTTTTTACTAGCCAGCATTCATCCCCATACAATATAGTCGGTCTAACCACCGTCGTGTAGAACTGGCCTTTAAGCTTTGGTGGCATATTTTTGTCACACAAGTCGTCAGATGCTAACCTTCATTTCATCCACCTCTCTCCTGAACGGTGTGTGACATCCTCGTCAATCTCCTCGTTCCCTTGGATAATTGACCCAAGATACTTGAAACTACCTCTCTTGGGGATGACTTACGAGTCAAGCCTCACGTCTATATCCTCTCCCCCATCTCGCCGTTGAACTTGCACTCTAAGTACTCTATTTTAATCTTGCTTAACTTGAAACCTTTAGACTCTAAGGTCTTGTCTCCAAACCTCCAACTTCTTGTTGACACTGCCTCGCGTCTCATGGCACTTTCCCTTGATGCATTAGTGCATCCATCGCCAAAGCAAATAAGATCCTCCGTCCCAATTTATATATTTGAATTTCGAGAGTCAAACGAGTTGTTTTTTATTACATATTTTATATGTCTTCTATATATTTTAAATTATTAATTATTGTAACTTATAGTAATTTGTACGTATTTTTCAAATATATTAATTTATTTTGAAAAGCTTAAAGATTTAATGTCCAAATACAAAGTCAAAATAAAGAAGTTTAAATCTAAAAAAAACGAAAAAATAAATTGGGACTGGTGGATGCGATTGTTATTTTTTAAAAGATGAACCAAACCAAGAAATTTAAATTTTTAAATCTTTAATTCAAAACCAAAAACCAAAAACCAAAAAGGCAAACCAAATAAAAAAATTCAATTTGGTGGGGAGGAAGGGTAAAGCGTTCCCTAACAAACGCGGTCCCAATAGTTGAATATACGGCACGGCTGCAGAAAACAAACTATTATGGCCAAATAGAGGATTTAATGCTAGTTTTCTTGTTTATAATAACCTGTAACGTGAATATTAGGCCTATCAATAGCAATGTACTCTTTTCATGTACAATGCATTACTGTCAAAATTAAAGTTTATTTTATATAACTGTTCTATGTTGAAGTTCAATTAAACACCATTTAAGAATGCACTAGCTGTTGATGATGAAGATTAGACCTATTACAAATTACTAGCAACTAACTCTATTGTACGTACACTTGCGCCGTTGTCGAAATTACATTGCGTTTCATAATTTTCTATATTGAAATTAATTGCACTTAATTTGTGACGCCCTTGCTTTCTTCAATTTGGTTTAAATAATAGACCAAATGAAAGACAACAGAAAAAAAAATGAGTTATGTAAGATGTGTTAAAAGGAGTTAATTTATTGTATTGGGTAAAATTTGCAATTTACACGTGGACGTCTCTCGAGCATATATGTGGCAGTAATGACATGGCGAAGATGAGTCAGCAGATAATTGATACTCTCTCCGGTCCATAATAAGTGATCAATTTGCTTTTTTATTTTGGTCCAAAATAAGTGTCCATTTATATAATCAAGAAAAAATTCAATTTATTTTTCCAAAATTATCCTTATATACGTATTCTTAAAAAGTTATTTACTCCTCACATTTGAGAAGAGAAGTAAATGGTACTATAACTATGGTGCAATATTTAATGAAGGATAGTTTAGTTACACTAACTATTTTCGTCTGGAATTTAGTATTTCCTTAATGGGTGTTCCCAAAGCAAATTGGTCACTTATTGTGGACCGGAAGGAGTACCGGATACAATCATGAGATCGGTATTGTGTGGATTCCGAGAACACAAGGATTGAGGAAAAGAATTTGAAAGTAAGGTACCGATTGGAATGAGCAACATTAAAGGAGCAACCGTTACAGAAAATCATAACATTTATTCTCAACGTTATGCAACCATCACGAGGGGGTTTTATTTATCTTTAAAAGGGCGCAATTTTGGGATCTTATCTCCTTGGAATTAGCTATAAATAACAACATTTGTACTTACTATAAGGAGACGAAAGACTAGAATTACAAAAGCTATCTCTCTTTCTCTCACTTTCTCAAGTTTTACCTAAGGTTGTTATCAAGGCTTTCCGGTTACCCGTAGTTCCGGTGGGATCAATTTGTTAAGGCTTGTTCTTTTCTAAATTATTTTTGTTTTATTTCCTTTATTCTTTGTTATTTTACTAATCAAATCGACTTAATTCATGTGTTTTTAAACCACGTATACAAATTTAACTGTAACTTTTTACAGGTAATCATTTCTATACAATAATGGTATAAATAAGTTGTACACTATTAATATATTTTAATTTGATGGAGTGGAGAAATTATGTTAAGCTGAATATTAAACATAAAATCTTCATAAAGGTACTCTAAGATCCTCCAATTAATTCCATAACATATAGGCATGATATAGAAAAGGCTAACACTAATACATTTTCTTAATATATCAAGACATTAGATAGTTCATAGTACAACTATATTGTAAGAGCAAAGAAATTATTCCAAATTGGAAATTAAAATCCTTATAAAGTGGCTTCTACAAAGTGAGTGGCCAATTGTATAACGTATTTGTGGTATGCCATTGTAAGTAATGATGTGGCTACCTACTCAATGAAACTGACAACAAAACAGAAAAACTCAACAAATACATAAAATTCATATAAAAAACACACTATAAAATCTTAAACGTGTCACTATTACCCATAGTGACGAAATAGTGTGCTTTTTTATTTATTATTTATTTTTTATTAGAAAAAAATCCATAGAGCTCAATTCATTGTTTCTTTAGCAGTACAGGAGATCCTCACATACCCGGAGGCGGATCTATATACAGAGAAAATGGATTATCGGATCCCGTTAACCTAAGCAATAATTCTAG